ACCGAGTCACCAAAAATAAAGCACCATATATCATATATGCCAGTATTCCAAAAACATAAATGTCCAACTTAAATTGCCAAGAGTTATGGACAGATGTTACAAAATACTGCTATAACAATATTAGTGATACAGTGCATGAAATCAGGTCAACAACCAAAAGCCTCTGTTTGTCACCTTCGTGACTGCTTCCAAAAACAAACCAATTAGTAACGAAATTTATTGCCTAAAAATTTATCCAAAAATTAATGACAAGATACCAAACTGCCTATGTGTAGATCTAAAATGATCTACACAGATCGACGAACCAAAGTGGCACAGAATAATGATTTACACAGAGAAGTACTGAACCCAGAAACCAAGTAGCTCTGATACTAGTTTGTAAGGATTTACGGTTGATTTTCTAAAAAAAGATTTGTAATAAAACCAACAACACACAACAAAAAACACAAAACGAACACAAGAATACCAAAGATGTTAACACAGTTCAACCAAAATAGGCCTAATCTAGGGGACTCAGGGACAACCCGTTCCACTATGACACAATCTACCTTCCAAGAGAGCAAGAATACATAAAAAAACCACTCAAATCACAAGATTTCAGCACCGATCTAAAAGATCTCGTGAAACACAACCCACGAAATCAACCAAACGTTTAGGAGTTTAACAATACAAAGATCAGCCACTGTCTTGGGTCTGATCACTAACAAAAACCACAAACTCCATTTTAAAGATCACAGAAACCTTAAAATACAAGAGAAAAATTTTAGACTCAGAGACAAAGTAGAGAGAGGCTGAGAAGAGAGAAGGAGAAAAATCTGGAATGAACCAAAAGTCATGAGACTTTTGGGTAGAAAAGGATGGTCTACCTCCCAAGGGTCAATCTCGGCATTCTATTTAATCCAACGGTCCAAAACGAGTCTCAACTAGCACAGTCCAATTGAGTATCAAATGTTAATAATCGAGTGCCAATTAGGCAGCATTTTTCAAGTAAGCAAAAATTTATCCACAAATTAATGACAAGATACCAAACCGCATGTGTGTAGATCTGAAACGATCTACATAGATCGACAAACCAGAGTGGCCCAGAATAATGATTTACACAGAGAAGTACCGAACCCAGAAGCCAAGTGGCTCTAATACTAGTTTGTAAGGATTTACGGTTGATTTTCTAAAAAAGATTTGTAATAAAACCAACAACACACAACAAGAAACACAAAACGAACACAAGAACATCAACGATGTTGACACAGTTCAGCCGAAAATAGACCTAATCTGGGGGGCTCAGGGACAGCCCGTTCCACTATGGCACAATCTATCTTCCAAGAGAGCAAGAGTACATCAAGAACCACTCAGATCATAAGGTTTCAGTCACTGATCTAAAAGATCTTGTGAAATACAACCCACGAAATTAACCAAACGTTTAGGAGTTTAACAATACAAAGATCAACCACTGTCTTAGGTTTGATCACTAACAAAAATTACAAACTCCATTTTAAAGATCACAGAAACCTTACAATACAAGAGAAAAATTTTAGACTCAGAGACGAAGTAGAGAGAGACCCAGAAGAGAGAAGGAGAAAAATTTGGAATGAACCAAAAGTCTCGAGACTTTTGGGTAGAAAAGGACGGTCCACCTCCCAAGGGTCAATCTCGGCATTCTATTTAATCCAACGGTCCAAAACGAGTCTCAACTAGCACAGTCCAATTGAGTATCAAATGTTAATAATCGAGTGCCAATTAGGCAGCATTTTTCAAGTAAGCAAAAATTTATCCACAAATTAATGACAAGATACCAAACCGCATGTGTGTAGATCTGAAACGATCTACATAGATCGACAAACCAGAGTGGCCCAGAATAATGATTTACACAGAGAAGTACCGAACCCAGAAGCCAAGTGGCTCTAATACTAGTTTGTAAGGATTTACGGTTGATTTTCTAAAAAAGATTTGTAATAAAACTAGCAACACACAACAAGAAACACAAAACGAACACAAGAACACCAAAGATGTTGACACAATTTAGCCGAAATAGGCCTAATCTGGGGGGTTTAGGGACAGTCCGTTCCACTATGACACAATCTACCTTCCAAGAGAGCAAGAGTACATCAAGAACCACTCAAATCACAAGGTTTCAGTCACTGATCTAAAAGATCTCGTAAAACACAATCCACGAAATCAACCAAATGTTTAGGAGTTTAACAATACAAAGATTAGTCACTGTCTTAGGCTTGATCACTAAGAAAAACCACAAACTCCATTTTAAAGATCACAGAAACCTTACAATACAAGAGAAAATTTTTTGACTCAGAGACGAAGTAGAGAGAGACCCAGAAGAGAGAAGGAGAAAAATTTGGAATGAATCAAAAGTCACGAGACTTTTGGGTAGAAAAGGACGGTCCACCTCCCAAGGGTCAATCTCAGCATTGTATTTAATCCAACGGCCCAAAACGAGTCTCAACTAGCACAGTCCAAATGAGTATCAAGTGTTCAATAATTGAATGCCAATTAGGCAGAATTTTTCAAGTAAGCATAAAGCCCAATTTACAGAAATAGCACTCGTTTTAGAGTGTTTTGAGAAACACCACTTTTCACACCAGGAATATAAGCATTCAAAATAATGAAATGCTCCATTTTCCAAATTATCTTATTTAAGGTCCTCGAATTTTTTATTTTTTTCCAAACATAATGGACTGCTAGTAACATATATGATAACTTCATAAATATCCTCGAAAAAAAAAAACTCCGTTTTATAAATTTTTTTTTGCCCCCAAAACACCTCTTTTTCATGAAAAATCAATTACAATATTATATATACGGTATACCTTCATTCATATACTTTTAAAAATATATATGCTTATTATTTAAAATCAATATTTTAGCCTTTCATTAAAATTTAACATATTTTACGAATTACATATTGGGTAACACGTCTTATCATATTACATATAGTTTATCATTGAAATATTTCCACCATTCATCAAAAATAAGTATTTTAGGGTCACATATATGTAACGTTTTATTAAGAATAAACATCTTAAGGAGGACTTTGAGTTTTAAAAAAAAAAAAAATTTAGGATAACACCATTTATTAACATTATGTTTTCAACACGAATAACACGTCATGTTACCCACAGAAAACAACTTCACATTAACACTTGCCAATATCACCAACCACAAGAAAACGAGTAACACATTATGTTACTTGTTTAAAATCACTCCACACCACCACAAAACATGGAGCACATTTTGTTACTATTCTAAATCACTCCACAAAGTTTGCCACCGCCGCCACCACCTCAAGACACGAATTTCATATTATGTTAGCCATATGAAACAACTTCATACCACCACCTGCCAACACTACCATCACAGAACACAAGTAACCACCTAAAACCACTCCACCCCATTGTCTGCCACCATTACCACCACAAATTTCAAGTAAAACCAGTATACACCATTGTATGCCACCACTGCAGCTCTCAGAAAACACGCTACTCGTATTATATTACTTGTTAGAAACCGCTCCACACCCATTTGAAAAGTTTTGAAACCACAAGGCAAGTTGTTGAAGAAGAGCACTTGATTTAGAACCAAGCAAGACCCAGCCTAATCCCAACCAGTTTCATGGCCAAGTGGGAAAAATGAAAAATTTAGGGTAAAATTGATTTGAAGTTTGAACATATAGGGTACTATATTATCACTGGCAAAAGGTAGGGTATTTTTTGAATTTTAATGCAAAAACAGATGGGCTAATTTTCCCTACTACATATATGGAGAAAGTGGGCTAGGCCCAGAAAATTATGTTATTTTGGGTTGGTCCATATCCATTTGCTAGAGCTGATATCTTTTCTTTTGGAACAGAGCTAGGGAACATAATGATAGATATAGATGATGATTGAACACACACACTTGGGGCCGGTTATTATTTAATTCACGTGAGACCCGCGCACTTTGTCAGGGTTGGTCACCCCCGGGTGTCAAACATTTTTGAGCAAAGTGGTATTTTCCTTTCTTTTGAGGTTTAGAGTAAAAAGTGTGTTGGGGAGTGCATATAAATAATTAAATTATAAACAGAATGAAATGATTAATATATAAGTGGGAAGTACTTGTGAATATTACAAAATATGTGGAAAAAAAATTAATTTGAATGTTTATAGACAGTTAATAAACATGAGTTGCATAGGATCATGACTCAACCGATTTACATGCTTTAAGTGAGATGAAGGAGAAGTGACTAAACGAATAATGGAGTTGAGTGTGGATGTTGGTCATATCGTCCAATTTATCGATAATGGAATCTGAATAAGAATTATAAAAATGAATAAGATCTTTTACGCTCCAAAATATAAAATCGAAGGTTTGACGTTGAGATGATTATTCGAGCATGTGGTGTATGTCTCAATGTTTGTCAACCATCATTCTTCCAAAGACCACAAAAATTTCTAGTTTGAATAGCTAGAAGAGTGATTGAAGAAGATTTTGAAGAAAACACCTTTTATACGAAATTTTATAGAACTGAATTTCATTTGTGAACGACATTCAAATGAATTTAATGTTGTGGAATTTAAAGGTTGGGAAATAGAAAAAGAATTTGAAAGAAATATTGTAGGGATCATTAGAACATTCGAGCAAATAGGTAGTGAGTTTTACGATATAAAAAAGGCATCCTATTATATAGAAACTCACCGCAGTTGATAGTCATACACAGCACATATACTTTCACGTTTGAAATCTATTATTAGATAAATCCTCAAAATGATTTTTTTTTTCAGAAGAAAAGAAACTCAAAGAAACATAAATTTGAAATATCTTCCAATACTGAAGATGGATTATACATAAAATGCAAAAAGAAATAAAAGGGAAAAAATATATATCCAGGGACTATAAATTGTTATTTTGCAATTGTGACAAAAAATAGTTATGATTATGAACCACATTTAAAGTTTTCATCCTTTATCTTTTTTCTCCCGAGTTTTGTAGATAGATGCACAATACTCCTATTATAGAGCCTCCTGTTTGAAATTGGACATCTTTGAGAGTTCATCAACTTCTTCAACCAAGTGATCAAGCCTAGCCTGGCTAGCCACAAACTTAATAAGCAATGAGGTAAATGTTGCAAGAGAGATTATGGCAGTACTCTCTGGGGCGCCCATTTTACGAATAATGTCTGCGCTAAAATGCCCCTCTTCTTCAAATGCGTCAACTTCCCGGGATGGCCAAGAATAGAGCCTTCTTGATTGCTTCCTCATCATTGCATGGTAAGATTCTGCCTGTGATGGTGGGCTGGCGTTTGGTACGGAAATCTCAGCCAGTTGGTTTAAGAGGCTAGAAAGGGTGGCTGATAAGGTGAGAGAGAGATTTGGCTGTGGCTTAGATGTATTACTATTAGGTGGCTCATAAGTAGAAGTTAAGAGGTAAGAGTGCATGTCTATTGCGCGTTGGAGGAGTTCAATCGAGCTATGCACCTGTTTTAAAAGGGACATTTTGAGGCTTCGATGCATATCACATATGTCTTTGCCTAAACATCAGACTAGCTCTGTAGCATCGCTTGTTGCATCTTTGATCTCTTTCTGGAATGTGATTCTAAGATTATAGGGAGCCTAGAAGAAACAATATATGAAATTGTACATATGTCATTGTACATATGTCAGTTACTCTTCAAGTTAAGATATGGTAACTACATAATGGATTTTATAGATTTACTCAATTCTCCTTGAGGAATATAATATGTTCTTCACAAATTAGATCATAAGACTCTTTAATTACATTTATCTTAAACTGAAGCAAGACATTTGAATTGAACAGATGCTTTTGTTCACAGAATAATCAGAAAGTTATTTAGTAATGTGTTCCCTAATGTAAACCACTATATGAGAGAACAAACGAATATTATAAATCTCATCTTGATCATTTAACTCATAGACCTTTGATTTGATATGCTTTTTTTAAGCAATCAGAACATTATTCATGAAAACTAACAAGGATGATCGAACTACTTTTAGTATATTCCTTTGTTCTTTTCCTTGTTTAAGTTTTAACTTCTTGTGGGTTGTCATAGGTTGGCAGTTGCATAAAACTTTGTTAAATCTTATGACATATCTCAGTAGACATGGCCTGTGGATCGAGTTGTTTTGGATTTTCTGCTTAAGATTATCAATAAGATATGGCACGGACTTGAATTTTTTAGTGAAGTACACTATGGAGTGCATGACCTCATATGCACAATATCTCATAACTGCACCAACTTTGACATACTCTGACCATGGATAAAAGAAATGCTTAAACCTGACATGGAATGGTTCCCATTTAGCTGAATTGGCCTATTAAGCAGAACCGGAAACATTAATGGAAATCCTAGGTTAGTTCTTGTTCAATTGAATGATGTTACAACTGGTAAGGAAAGAAAAGAAAATCTATGTTCATCTGCATAGAGATGATTCGTACCAATGATTCAAGTCTGGCAGAGGAATTCAACATGATCGACATTTTCTATATACAGGTTCGTCTGGATCATCTAAGTATTTTTCAACACATTTTGCAACCAGATAAATTTGATGTTGTAAGGATCTGAATAGGAGCTTCTATGATATGTTTGTTTTACATATTTTTATTTGTTAATATTAGCTTACATCTTTCGTTTCTTGTACTATTTTTGTTGGGCTGTGATGACCAATAACCTTTCTGGGCTATGATGACAAATGGGCTAAAGTCCAAATAACTTTTTTATTATTCTAGGCTCTTGCCCAATAACTTGACCCTGATCCGCCCCTGCCCAAAGGTAGATAAAAACGTGTTATTTGACGTGGCTTTTTTAACGCAGCCAAAACACGCTTTTCTTCAGATTACTGAAAGTCCCCTGACCGTTGGATTGAAATCTGATCTACGGCTGCGTTGGTTGGATATATATATTTCCATCTCTTGCCCTAATTCAGCTGGACCGTCATTTTTACTCCTCTCTTCAGCTGCGGCTGTGCTTCGAGATCTTTCCAAACCCTTCCTTCTTCGTGACTATCCAATCTCTGATTGGATCTGAAATCTGAGTGATTTTTCTTTGTGATACTAAATACTAAGTGTATTGAAGGGATTGGTGTGTGATTTACCCTTGTGGTTTCCTTTAATCTGATAGAGGAAAACCTTCGGGTTTGGGGCGATCGATGTGGGTCATATAGACGGGTACAATCCTATATTTTCTTGAGTCTGAGCCCCATAGATGAAAGGACCTTCATCTGGATGCCGTGTGGTTCGAGTTTCAGTGAACGGTTGAGGATTTGTTCTTCTGCTATTTTTTCTTGTAATATTTTCTTGTTTATTTTCTGGTTTTGTACTGATATCTTGGTGTAACAGTGGTATCAGAGCCTTCGTCTGGCTCGTGTGGGTAAATCGAACCACGTTCTTACCTGATACAGTGACCTGGTAAATTTTTTTTTGAGTTAAAACCCTAGATCTCGATGTTCTTTGTGATAAATCTGTTTTTTCTTGGTGAAAAACTGCTTCGGTTATTTGAGTTGTTCGAGTTTGGGTACTGTTGACTGCCGCCTTCGTGGAAACTGTGTGTGGTCAAGTGAAACGACCACCACTGTGGTTTAATTATTGAACTCAAAACTTTACTGCCTGATTTTTTCGTTACATGTCTTAGTTGACTGATAATTTTTCCTTGTTAATTGTTTTGTGAATTTGGAACTTTGTACTTAAGCATTAAAACTGTCTATACTTGTCTTTTGTTAAAAGTAATGCAGTATGCTTGCGCACTTAGCATGAATCTGCCTACATTTGTTTGATAAAAGTATTGCAGTATATATGTGTGTTAAGAGTTATTCTGCCTATATTCATCTGATAAAAGTATTGAAGTATATTTGTGTTTTAGTTACTGATTCTTGATGTGCTTGAAGATTGTAATCCGTGTGTTCTGTTCTTATATCCTGTATTAATATCTCTCTTAATCTTTTTATTCAAACAAAACCTCTACCCTTCACCCAAGCCTTGACATGAGATCTTGAGTCTCACGGAATCCTGGTAGGGCAGGGTAGTTGATTTCTTTAACTTGGTGTTGAAGACTGTGTGTATTTTAAATTGTTATTCACTTACACACATTATGTTGCTTTGCCTATGATATGAAGAATCTCTGTTTTCTCACTTGTATGTTGTGATCGAATCAGAAATTACTGAGTGTGACCTGTTTGATCTAGAAAATGACTACCACTAGTTTTGAACTTGGGATCTTTAATGGGAAGGGAGATTTTCCAATATGGCAGCAAAAAATGATAGGGGTTTTAGTACAACAGAAAGTCTCTAAGGCAATAACTGGAGAGTTTCCTGAAACAATGACACAAGATCAGAAAACTGAATCAGATGACCTAGCCTATACCTCAATAATTCTCCACCTATCTGACCAAGTGCTAAGGAAAGTAGGGAAATTAGAAAATGCTAAGGCCTTATGGGAGAAATTAGAGGAACTGTACTTAGTGAAATCCTTACCTAATAAACTCTTCCTTCTAGAAAGGTTTTTTAGTTTTAAGATTGATCCAACCAAAGACCTGGATGATAATCTTGATACCTTTAATAAATTGGTACAAGATATCACCAATGCAGGGGATAAAATTTCTGAAGAATATAAAGCAGTAATACTTCTTAATGCTATACCAGAGGCATATAGGGATGTCAAATCTGCTATTAAGTATGGCAGAGATACTTTGACCCCAGAAGTTGTTATAAATTCCATAAGAAGTAAAGAATTGGAACTCAAAACTGAAAAACATGGGAAGGAACATGAGAGTTTGTACATAAGGGGGAGGCAACCAAATAGGCAAAATAATAACTATCCAAATCAAAACAATTCTGGAAATAGTAACAGGAAGAAGTTTAGGAGTAAATCAAGATCTAAATCAAAATCTAGAAATAACAGAAAGTGCTATGGCTGTGGTAAGCTTGGTCATTACATAAAAGACTGCTATAACAAGAAAATTGAACCTAAAGAGAAGAAAGTTGATGAGGGAAATGTAGTTGAGCCTACTGAGCCTGATACTGTTGATGTATATGTGGTGGCTCAGCAACCTGATCTGGAGGTGGCAAATTATGCCTACAATAGATATGTTCATGAGTGGATTTTGGACTCAGGTTGTACCTTTCACATTACACATGAAAGGTCATGGCTTCAAGATTTTAAGAAATTAGCTGGTGGTGAAGTGGTGATGGGGAATAATATTGCCTGCAGAGTTGAAGGACTAGGTAATGTAACCCTAAAATTTGAAAATGGATACATGTATACCCTAGAGAGAGTGAGGTATGTTCCTGAACTTAAAAGAAATCTGATCTCTATGGGAGAATTAGATGACCTAGGGCTGTGTGGTAGGATTAGGGATGGATTGATGAAAGTGATCAAGGGATCTCTTGTCATCTTTAAAGGTGTCAAGAAAAATGGAATCTATGTAGTTAAAGCTGAAATAGTACTTGAAAATAATTCAACTATCTCTAATACTGAATCTGATTCCACCTTAAAATGGCATAAGAGGCTTGCACATGTTGGTGAAAAAGGCCTCACAATCCTACATAAAAGGGGGGTATTTGGTAAGGACCAAATATCACAAATACCGTTCTGTGAAAGCTGCACTTTTGGCAAACATCACAGACTCCATTTTAATTCTGGAAAACATAAAACTACTTCTCCATTGGAATATGTCCACTCAGATTTGTGGGGTCCAACCTCCACAACTACTCCAGGGGAAAATAAGTATTTCTTCTCAATAATTGATGACTTTTCAAGAAAGGTGTGGGTGTTTCTACTAAAGCACAAATCTGAAACCTTTGAAAAGTTTAAAAGATGGAAAGTCCTTATTGAAAATCAAATGTCTACAAAGATTAAAATTTTGAGAACTGATAATAGACTTGAATTTTGCAACTCAGAATTTGATAAACTTTGTGAATCAAATGGAATCCTAAGACACAAAACTGTCCCATACACACCTCAACAGAATGGGGTGGCTGAGAAAATGAATAGGACCTTGTTGGATAAGGTTAGGTGTATGATGGTGGGATCAGGAGTTCCTAAGGTATTGTGGGGGGAGGCTATAATAACAGCTACATATATAGTGAATAAAACCCCTGCTAGTGCTTTGGAAGGTAAGACACCTGAAGAGAAGTGGTCTGGAAAAATACCAGACTATTCCCACCTTAGAATATTCGGGTGTACAGCTTATTGTCACCAGAATTTGGGGAAACTGGAGCCAAGGGCTCAGAAATGTGTGTTCTTAGGTTATCCTGAAGGAATTAAGGGCTATAGGTTATGGGCTAGAGGTCAAGGGCGGTATAAAATGATAACAAGTAGAGATGTTACCTTCAATAAGGAAGAGATGCCCTGTTTAGACAAACAAAAGTCTGCAGACCCTGAAAACCCAAGTGTGACAAGGTTTCAGTTGGAGTTGGGATCTCAAACTGATTCTGTTCCTAATAATGTGAGAGAAAATGAACCTACACTACCTCAGACTCAAACTGAATTAGAAAATTCAGGTGTGGAGGAACATGAACAAACTGAAATGTATGATCCCAGTCAACAAAGTGATCTTAGTGACTATCAACTGACTAGGGATAGGCCTAGAAGGAACATAAGAGAACCTACAAGATATGAAGACTATCTATCATATTCTGTCATGTCTTATAATGACCTAGCCTATAAGGAACCCAAGACCTATAGTAAAGCCATGAGTTGTAACCAGTCTGGCAAGTGGGAAGTTGCCATGAAAGAAGAGATGAGTTCTCTAATGAAGAATAAAACTTGGGATCTTGTGCCTAGACCCAAAAATAAATCCATAGTTGACTGTAAATGGATTTACAAGGTGAAAGAAGGCAGTTCAGATAATGAGCTTGTGAGATTTAAAGCAAGATTAGTTGCTAAAGGGTTTACACAAAAACAGGGTGTAGATTACAATGAGATGTTTTCACCCGTTGTAAAATACACAGCCATAAGAGTCCTACTAGCATTAATTGCACATCACAATTGGGAATTAGAACAAATGGATGTAAAAACAGCTTTCTTACATGGTGATTTAGATTAGACAATTTATATGTCACAACCTGAAGGTTTTGTGAATAAATCTAAATCTGACTTTGTGTGCTTGCTTAAAAAATCCTTATATGGTTTAAAACAGTCCCCTAGACAATGGTATAAAAAGTTTGATACTTTTGTCATGATTGTTGGTTTTGTAAGAAGCTCTTATGATCATTGTCTTTACTTTAAGAAAGATTCTGATTCTTCAATATCTATTTTTCTGTTACTTTATGTTGATGACATGCTGCTAATTGGGCCTGATTTAAAACAGATAAATGATATTAAAGATACTTTTGGTGCTGAATTTGAAATGAAAAATCTGGGGCATGCTAAAAGGATATTGGGAATGGATATACTTAGAAGAAAAAAGCACAATACATTTTGATTTTGAAACAATCAGCTTACATAGAAAAAGTTCTATCCAAGTTTTCAATGCATGAATTAA